GGGCTATCAAGTAATTTCGATTTTTTATAAATTTGAAATGATTTGGAATGAATTTGTATGATTTCATGTTTAACTATGTGATTTGAATTTGATTTCTTAAGATTTGATGTTGAAATTACTTCAACTGAATTCCGATTTAACTTGATTGTGATGGATTTTTTTTCGTAACTGATTTTCGTAATAACTTCTCGGTCAAGAGAGCGATGTTATCTGATTTTGTCCTTGTAAAAATTAATTCTTTTATACCACTGTGCACGTTTGACGTGCAATACAGACGATATAAAAATATCGAAATGTTTAGTTTTTTATTCTTCAACTTTAACAAACGCACATATAGATAACATAATTTGCATGTGCATATTTATTAATCCACGAATAAAAATAAACTTTTTGATATATTTTCTAATATAGTAGAGAGAGAGAGAGAGAGAGAGAGAGAGAGAGATTGAGAGAGACATTAAAAAGAAACATTTATATGATTTGCTATTTTCGATACAGTTATATACAACTCGATACAGTCACAACAAGGAAACAAAGACATTAAAAGTTGCAAAGATGTATACCGTCTCGCGATGGTCTAGCTTTCCTGATCCAATCAGTCAAATGTCGTACGAAATCGAAGAAAAAGTCGCCTTCCGGGACCGAAATAACTTTATCGGCAATCTTGACGAACAAACTGAAACCCTCGGCAGATCGTAAATTGAGTCTTTGCGCAATATTCTGGCAAAAGTCTTTCGCTCTGGTAGACGAGTCGACTTCGAATGCCTATAATCCGAAATTACAATAGTTACAACCGAAAAAGAAAAACGTTATTTTATTTATAGGACTACCTATAGAAGAAATGAAGAATAAGATATGCACCTCGTCCGTGTCGTCTGGGAAATAGACCTTGTGAAATATCTGCGTAGTTTTGTGCTGAATAGCTTCCACTTCCACTTGATGTGGCGGATACTTTCGTTGACCATTACGCAAGGTTTTCTGCAGCCTTTGTAAAGAGTCTTGGGATATGGGATGACGTCTTGTACGTAGAAACAGAGTTAATTCCTGTGCAACGTGAAATAGTATTATACTCATGTATATTTGTGAATTTTCCTTGAAGAAGCACGGCATCAATAATATTCTATAAAATATTATTGGCAAACAGGTAGAGAGGGAGAGAAAGAGAGATATGTGAAGTTCTGTTATACATTATACCTTCAAGAGACTCTGACTACAAGTAAATAGTCCAGTACCGAGCCACATTAGCTCCCATCCTCGCTCTTCGCTCAATCTGTTGCGGTTATCAGTAAGCTGCTTCATAATCTGACAATAAATCTCATCTCGTAGAATCTCATTTTTCAATGGCCCGTCAAAGATCAGATCGGTGTACTCGTTTCCAATGCGCGGTCGTTTCGTTGGCAGATCACCCATATATTTGAGAATAGCATTGAAGGCAAAACATGCTTCTTCAGCTAGCTCTTCCTTTGATACGAGTTTCTTCAAAAGAGGTTGCTTTATTGGCTCTCTAGAGTGATGCCACAATTCGTCCGTGTGTCCACGTCGTGCGGACGTTAAAGTCAATGTTTTGGACATTGTTCTCTTTGGTGGTGTTCTAAGACGAGTTTAATCAAAATATTATCACATTTTTACTTTAGAATATCAAATGCTACACACATGCTGTCTTTCTTACCGGAAATGATCGATTGCGTATTCTAGAAGAGTATGAGGTTTATCACGAGAGTCCACACCATTCATTTGCTGCGGATAGAGTCTGCGACTATTCTCTGTACCTTCCATACTGAATAAAGCCTAAAAATTATTATTATCGATGAGTTATTTAGAAAGAAGATGTCAACATTTCTCACCAATAAAACTAATCCGTACGTTGACGTACCAATATATCATTTGGCGGTTTCGTTAAGGAAGGTAAAACGTAAACTGTCTCAGCCGGGAAATCGCCCTTCTCACCAGTCCTTTCACAGGTTCCGACATACCACCCTGAGTTAAGCACAGTCTCACCGGTGCTTTCATCTTCGAGGATGATGAGATCACCTTTCTGAAAATTCAAGAATGACGAGCCCTCGCCCGGTGCTTTGTAATCTTGCAAGGTTATAACG